TGTACAGAAAATGGAAATGGTGTGTATTAATTTTTTTATTGCTTGCAACAAATCCCTGCAAACTCAGCAACTAGAAACAATGTTGCAACAACATGGATGGACATGGAGGGTATTATGCTAAGTGGGTAAGTCAGAGAAAGAAAATACTATATGATCTCACTTATATGTGGGATCTAAAGAATAAAAAAGATGGACAAACAAAACAGGATAGAAACAAAGTCATAGGTAACAGAGAATAAACTGTTGTTACCAGAGTGGGGAGGGGACATTGGTGAAGGGGATTAAGAGGCACAAACTTCCTGTTCTAAAATAAATAGGTCATGGGGATGTAAGTGCAACCTAGGGAATATAGTCAATAATATTGTAATAACTTTCTATGGTGACAGATGGTAATTTCACTTATCATGGGGATCATTTTGTAATGTACAAAAATATTGAATCACCATGATGTACACATGAAACTATTAGGATATTATTTGTCAAAAAAAAAAAAATTCAGATGCATTATCTCGCATTTTCTGGAGGTCAGGAATTCAGGCATGGGTCTTCTGCCCAACGTCTTACCAGGCTGTGGGCAGGGTATTGGCTGGGGATGTGTTCTTGTCTGAGGCTTGAGTCCTCTTACAGGCCCTTTTAGGTTCTTGGTATAATTCAGCTTCACTGGTGGTAGGTCTGATCCCAATGCTTTCAGGTATGGTCATGTGGCCCCTTCCAGTGTCTGACTTCCTGTCCCTGCCATTAGGCCCAGATTTATAGGACTCCTGTGGCTCTGTCAGATCCACTCAGATGGTCTCTTTGTTGATTGGTCAACTGACTGGCTGTAGTCAACTGATAGGTCACCCTAGTTACATCTGTGATTGCCACCACATTCATATAGTCCCTACCTCACTCTAAGGGGCTGACAGGGATGTGGACACAAGGGCTGAACTGGGGACCTTGGGGCCATCTCAGAATCCTATTGCCACATGAGGTGGTTGGCACCTGTCCTTAGAAGGAATATTGTGTGGCCAAACTAAACAGTGCCCCTTCTTTTTTTTTTTTTTAAATTTTTTTTTAATGTTTTTTATTTATTTCTAGGAGAGAGAGAGAGACAGCGTGAGCAGGGGAGGGTCAGAGAGAGAGGGAGTCACAGACTGAAACAGGCTCCAGGCTCTGAGCTGGCAGTCAGCACAGAGCCCGACGCGGGGCTTGAACCCACGAACCGCGAGATCATGACCTGAGCGAAAGTCGGACGCTCAACCGACTAAGCCACCCGGGCGCCCCAAACAGTGCCCCTTCCTAATTGCTGTGAAGGAATACAGACAGTATTGAGAACTTGGATGATTTCAAACTTGCCACTGTAAAAAATATAATCCATGTGTCACAGGAGAAACGGATGGCCCCTGGAGGAATGCAGGCCTATGCCTTGTTGGGATTAGGTTTGACAGGGAGGCCATGGGGCAGTGCAATTTTCTCGTGAGATTTGTGCCGTGGAGAGGAGGCTCACACATTCTGTCTACCCCGACCTGCATCCACACTCACCTGAGGAAATGGAAGGCAGTTCCAAATCCTTTACTTGCTTCTTAGAGAAGTCTGAAGAAGAGTGTTATTAGGAAGCTAATGTTATATAGTATTGTGTCAAAGGATTTGTTTCTCTTTTCTCTGTGGTACTTTTCCTGTACACAGATTGCGGGGGGGGGGAGGTGTCGAACACATGCCTGTGGATAAATCACCTGGCATGGTGCCCCTCCACTACCTGCTTCCTCTGCTGTCTCTTTCTCTGTCACTGCAGCCTGGGAACTAACTGGTCCTTCCAGCAGGAGTCCTGGGAATTGAAGTTATTAGGTGTTAGTCTGCTCAGGCTGCCATAGCAAAGTACCACACACCAAGTGGCTAAAACAAGCTAACTGTCTGTCAGTTCTGGAGGCTGAAAGTCCAAGATCAAGGTGTGTTGGCAGGGTTGCTTTCTCTTGAGGCCTTTCTCTTTGGCTTGCAGGTGGTTGTCTTCCCTCTGTGATCACACACGGCCTTTCCTTGATGTGCACACATCCTTGGTGTCTCTTCCTCTTCTTAGGACATCAGTCACATTGGATTAGGACCAGACCCTGTCTTCATTTCAACTTAAGACTCTATGTCTAAATACAGTTGCTGGGAAAAACTCAGCATTATACCCTCCTCATGACACAAAGGACTACTTACATATAATGTGTTATATGCAATATATGTTACATATATGTATCTGTGAATATAATATATAACAATATAGTATATAATATAATATAATATATAATACATATTATATGTTATATATAGCAATATAGTGTATGATATAATATAGTAATATATATAATATATCATATAAATGTATATGATATATGTAATATATAATATTGTTATTTAGTAAAAATAAATACGAGAAAAGTAGGCAGGGACATTGCAGGGGTTTGTGTAGGGTCCAGACCCAGTGCAGGTGTCCAGCTGAAACTGTCTATGGGACTGTGGGGCTTTGATAGGGAATCTTGGTCTGTTGGGATGTCAAAGGGGTTCCATCATGCTGCTCTTCTTTCACAAATGACTCCTCCCAGGTTTGGGTTTTCAGGGGCCCAGTCTGCTGTAGAATTCCCGTGAGCTGCAGGGCCTTTTCACAGAAACCATCCTGGAGCTACTCTGTGTCCTGCTCCCTTTGCTTCCCATGGCTCACGTGGGTCCTCTCACCAGGACTGTGACCCAGTGCTTGCTGATTGCAGGCACATCAGTGGGGGGCGCTGTGGGGGAATCTCCTGTGTGGCTCAGTGCTTCTACCAAAATTACTGGTTTAAAAGCAGTGCTTTTGATGGGGTGGTCAGGCTAATGTTTAAAGATTCAAAGAGGTGAAAACTGACTCAATGTTCAATGAGTTCTGTAAATGGAATGTAGTTAAGATAAACTGAACACAGACAGTTCTGCTACTCTTCTTGTCATCACCTTCCTGTGACCATCCCAGAGCAAGTGTGGGACCACCAGTCTCCTGGCAACCCCCATCACAACAAAGCCTGTCCACTCACTCTCAGAGTGTATGCTGCCCTCCTCTGTGACTGATTGTGACTTAGCTTTTAGAAACTTTCTTCTGGAAGAGGTTAGGCTCTTTCATATTTCTTTGTACTTTCTTTGGGAACCCAACAAATGGTCATGATAAGGAAGAAAGATTTAGGAGCTAATGCTAGCAGTGATATAAAATCAAGGATGACCTTTAGAAAAGGAAATAGAAACATTTAAAAATGTTTCATCTGTCTCACATCAAGGCTGTCTGTCCACAGGGAAGAGGTCAGACTGGCAGTGAGCTAGCAGGATGGTCAGGTGATTGAATGTCCCTTCTGTGTGTTATCTTAGAGTCAGCTGACCTCGGGCTGGAGGCTGATGGGACCTTATCACACCTATTTAAGCAGCCTTGAAGAACACTCTGGCCTTGTAGGGAGTGATGGTTTGGCCCAGGAAGCATAGCTTGGTCACATTGGGGGCTTGATTATACAGTCCCAAAAGGTTGCTATCCAGTGGTTTGGTCTTGCCTCACATTGTTTTTGAGGAGAGGGCTATATCTAATTATCTTTGTTGGTCCTAAAGCGGCCAAACTATGCTTTGCACAGAATCAGTTTGGTGGATCTTGAATTAGAAGAACAAGAAAACGGAGGCTTAAAAATGGAAGGGGATGCAACAACTGATGGCTCTGAGCTCCTGAAAGTTTTCCATAGGTTTCCTCAGATCCACAGTGTGGATTTAAATAGATGTGTAAAACTCTCAGTTCTTCTCCCAAAGTGCAAGGGTCCATTTGATGTGGCTGACTCAGTCTACTTTGAGATCCAGACTTGCTGCCTGAGTTCAGGCTCTCTGGGAACTCAGGCAAAGAGAGGCATTGTATGGGGCAGGAACCAGTAAGAAGGTGAATGGTTACAGTGAAATGTGTTTTTGTGCCCCCCCCCCCCCACCGCCAAACAGTATCACCCAGGGGATTTCCTGATGAGATTTCTTTATAATATATCATGTTGAACTACAGTCATGTTTCTATACTTATTTATAAAAATGCGCAAAACTGACACAAAGGAACCCTTAAAAATGCCCTTTGTAGGTTTAATTGGCCTATATTTTCAGAGTAAAAAAAAATCTGAAGAAGGGAAATCTACAATGTTTTCATCTAAATATCTATTAATAGTAACTATTAGAAGTTGAAAACTGTGTTGGGTATTGTCCTGGGCGATTGGCATGTGCTATCCACTTCATCTTGAATGACATGGAGAGGATGCATCTTCTATTATCTCCATTCTGCAGATAGAAGGACAGTGAGATATAGAGAGGGTCTACTCTGTGCATTTGCCTGTTGCAGGAACTTCCTAAAAGTACATTCATATAATATTTGTCCTTTTGTGACTGGCATATTTTACTTAGCATAATGTCGTCAAGCGTCATCCATGTGTCAGAATTCCCTTCCTTTTCATAGCCGAATAATATTCCGTTGTGTATATCTATACCACATTTTGCTTATCCATTCATTTATCATTGGGCTTTAGGGTTGTTTCTACCTTTTGGCTATGGTGACTAATGCTTCTACGAAAATGGATGTACAAGTATCTATATGAGTCCTTGCTTTTCATTCTTTGGGGTATATACCTATAAGTGGACATTTTAACCATTTAAAAATGAATAATTCAGTCTCAGTGCATTTATAATGTTATGCAACCATCACCACTACCTAGTCCCAGAACATTTTCAGCAAATGGAAACCTGTACCCAATAAACAGTTTCTCTCCATTTCTCTTCCCCCTTGTTGCTGACAAGCACTAATCTATCCTCCTTCTCCATGGATTTGCCTAACCTGAATATTTCTTATAACTGGGGTCATACTGTATATGTGGTGTTAATGAATATCCTTTTTAGACACTTTCTTTACGGAAATTTTTAGTAGAAATAGTTGTTAAATGTGCTTCATCACACAGATTTAGGCATGATCAACCTCCTTCCAGTCTTGTTAATGACAGTCTCTTTATCAGGGAGGAAAAGCAGTATGTGAACCGATTCTGGAAAGAAATCCGTGTGGGAGATTTTGTGCGTCTTCGCTGCAATGAGATCATCCCTGCGGACATTCTGCTGCTGTCCTCCAGTGACCCGGATGGCCTGTGCCACATTGAGACTGCCAACCTGGATGGAGAGACCAACCTGAAGCGACGGCAGGTGGTCCGCGGCTTCTCAGAGCTTGTAAGTGACCCGATAATGTCCAGGGCATCCTCGGCACCACGTCCACACAGTACCTCCCACAGTTGCCCTCTGGATGTCAGAGCACCCTCACCCTGTACCCCCAATCCACCAGGCCAGGCCACTTTTACTAGTAGATAGGTGTGAGACTGAGGTCTGAGAGGACCCCTGACCTGCCTGAGCCCGTGCCTGGCCTATGGCTGGGGGGAACAGAACAGTTTTTATAACTCTGATTTCCACTGTATACTTTTGACTTTCTCAAATGGTATTTAAAGTTGCAAAGAACATTTATGACCAGATGACTGTTGACATTTATCCAGTTGTTGCTCTAGTTTGCTAAATGGCAACACAGCAGAAGTAATGCCCTGTTCTGAGAATGTAGCTCTGGAACGTTTTCTCCTCAAGGCTGTTTCTGACTTTGGCATATACAGATTTTCTGTATCTGAATTCTGCTTTAGAGAGCCTTACCCACTGCTCAGAAATACACAGTTGATGGGAAATGAGATGTAGAAAGGGAAGTGGGCTCTGACTACCTACACTCACCAACAGCCTCGTGGCCAGGAAGTTCAAACGCTTCAAGGGTTTCTAACCTGTTTACTATCCTATCTCATATAATGTGTGTCAGTCAATGTTATACTTTTGGGATTTTCTTTCTCTGTCACTGAGACCTCTCCATGAGCTCCCCCAGGAAAATTGGCCTTAGAATCAAGATGGGGCAGGCTTCTCTTGAGCAGTTGGCTTGTTTTATAGCTTATGGATCTCCTCCTGAGCACTGTCAGTATTTTGGGTGGAATGTTCATTGGTCAGGATTTATTTGGGGGCTGGCATCCTTGTCTCCCACTTATGAGTGAACGTGTAATTCACTCATGATCACTGTCACAACAAAGGTGCCTCTGCATACTTTCTCAAGGCCAGGTAGAATTCCATACATTGGGACTCCCTACTTTCCCTTGGCTGGTGGAAATTTCTGACACTCCTCCACTGGACTTCATTACCAGTGTCTGCCCTCACTTATTTCCACATAAGTTTCCTCATTTACTTTTTTTTAAATTGAGAAATAATTGATGTACAATATTATTATTAGTTTCAAGTATACAACGTAATGATTTAGTATACTGTGAAATAATCACCACAGTAAGTGTGGTTAACATCCATCACCACACACAGCTACAATTTTGTTTCCTATGATGAGAACTTTTTTTTTAAGTTTTTAATGTTTTATTTATTTTTGAGAGAGAGAGACAGCATGAGCAGGGGAGGGTCAGAGAAAGAGGGAGACACAGAATTCGAAGACAGGCTCCAGGCTCTGAGCTGGCTATCAGCACAGAGCTCAATGTAGGGCCCGAACCCACGAACCATGAGATCATGACCTGAGCCGAAGTCGGACGCCCAACTGACCCAGGTGCCCCTGATGAGAACTTTTAAGATCTACTTTAGCAACTTTCAAATATACAGTGTTAACTGTACTCACTACTCATCTACTTTTCTTTAAGCCTTCTTTTGTGCCAAGTGTTTATTTTTTGTGAGCTGTCTCAAATATTTCTTGGAATGATACAAAGCTGACATAAGTACTAAAAATAGCAGTTTTTAAAAAATGGAGTCCGTCATCATCCTAGATCAGGAAAGCCAGTGGAATTTAGGGACCTCTGGGGGCTCAGTGCTAGAGATTTCCAACATCTGAATTATTGTGCTCCAGGGTTTGGCAGTAAATATGGGCTCATCCTCCACTACTAGCCCTTCATCCCCTAAGCCCGCGTGCCTATATGTTCTCCTAAGGTTGGCCTTAGTTCCAATTTTTTTGTACCAGGCCTGCCCCAGTCTATAAGACTAGAGCCCAGAATTCCAGGGCACAGACTAGTGTATGGACTAAGTCTGAAATCAGTATGGGGCTACTTTGCAGGCTCAGTTCTTGTGATCTCATCATGCACAGGATTATGGGGAGGAGTGGCTGCACAAGCTAGAATATTTCCTTCCTGGTAGAGTGGCCAGTGTGCACAGAAAATGACTGCAACATGAATGAATACATATGAATCTCTAATGGATGAAAATTTGAGAACTAGAGAGCAGAGTGAACATGTTGGGGGGGGTGGTGTGGGGAAAGCCACAGCTCTCAGGAATAATGTCCATGTTTCACATCTTCTAAATTTATTCAATTGCTGTAAACCCAGTAATATCTACAGGCCTCTTCTCCCCACTTTTCCCCAAAACAACAACTAGAACACTTCATAGCTTGATAGTGTGTTATGTAATTCAACTGTTTGTAAGTGCTTTATGTAATTCAGCTGTTTGTATGTTTAAACTTCAGGGATGGCTACAGATAGACACATCCTATATCACCTTCCTTCAGGCACAATGAATGCTTGAGGAAGTAAATGGAGTTGAGCCATAATTTAGTCAGGATAGCCAAAATTAACAAGCAAAGCAATTCTGATTTAAGATAAAGGTTTTCTTATTAGCACCCAAATTCTTCAGTATGCATGCACATTGTACCTATTATTGGTGTATTTTTTTCACTTTTTCTTTTTTTAACTTATCCTCTAAAAAATGTCCAAAGATTTTTTTCTGGTAACTGAATTCCCTCTCATACATTATTATTCTGAAATATAAGAATTGCTCCATTGAGAATAAAGATAGGAAGTCTCTGGCATTTAAAAGCCTGATAATTGGAAAACTTTTACAACATATATGTTAATTATACTGGAATTAAAATTAAACGAAACTAGAATTAAAAAAACTTTAATTTTAAAGTTTTTTAAATTTATTTTGAGAGAGAGAGAGTGCAAGGGAAGTGACACAGAGAGAGAGAGAGGGAGAGAGGAGAGAGGAGAGAGAGAGAGAGAGAGAGAGAGAGAGAGAGAGAGAATGAATCCCAAGCAGGTTCCATGCCGTCAGCACAGAGCTGGACGTGGGGCTAGAATCCATGAACCTTGAGATCATGCCCTGAGCTTAAATCAAGAGTCAGGTGCTCAACCAACTGAGCCGCCAGGTGCCCCTAAATTTTTTTTAAAAAAATTAAGCCTGATGCGCACCTGAGTGGCTCAGTCAATTAGGTGTCCGACTTCAGCTTAGGTCATGATCTCATGGTTTGTGGGTTTGAGCCCCACATCAGGTGCTGTGCTGACAGCTCAGAGCCTGGAGCCTGCTTCAGATTCTGTGTCTCCTCTCTGCCCCTCCCCTGCTGTCTGTGTCTGTCTGTCTGTCTCTCCAAAATAAACATTAAAAAATATTTAAAAAAATTAAAAGCTGGGCTGTTGGAAAACCAAGGTTCTGACTATAATGTTGCAATGCCAAACATTTTAGTTCTCTGTATTTAAGTAGGTTTTTCATAGACTGGAGTCAGCTAGTATACCTCAGACAAGAGAAGAACTGGTTCCTGTCAAATACAGAGTGCTGTGTTGCCAGTTTGATGAATGGTCAGTTGGAAGTGGTGACCCGTAGGAAAACTTAAATTAGAAGCAGTTTGCAAAACTGAGGTAAAGAAATGTGAGAGGGCCTCATTGTTTATGCAGGGACTCTGTGTATCTGTCAGGTCTGGTGAGGAGGCAAAAATTACCCATGACTTAGGGCAAGTTTGATATTAAGGATTCCAGTGGGGGTTCTGAAGTAAATAAAGTAAGAACAAAGACTTGTAAGAGTATACAGACCTATCTGATATAAAGAGTGCTATATCTGGGGCCGAGATAGTGCCCAGGGAAGAGGCCTCCTAGGTTAAGTCTTATTTTCAAGTCTGAGGGGACAGCCATTACTCACAGGATGGTAGAAAAGCTTGTGAGGGGCTGTGCCAGCCAGAAGTCAGCCATCCAAAGGAAAGTGCTGAGCCAGGGAACATGGGAGATACAAGGGGCAGCTGCTCCCACTGGGCACTGCTTGAGCTGGGCTCTAGGGATGCTACCTTCTGCGTGTGCCTCTGGCTGCTGCAGTGGACACAGGCTGACTGGTGGCACTCTAGACAGCCAACCCTGCAGAGCCCAGACCTGCACAGGCCCAGGAAAGGGTAGAGGGAGCAGCAGCCCTTACTGGGGTCAGGGCTCATGCGCTCAGGGTCTCTGGTTACCCTGAGCTGAAAACTGGAGGAAGCTTGTGGCTGATCTAGTCTTGGTAAAAAAAACTACACTGCAGGATCCTTGCCTTAGAGAAGCCTGGAGGGGGCATTGGGAGTGCAGAACAAATCCACACACCGCTCTACCTGAATTCCCACCCCCTTCTCCTCCTGCAGCGTCCCTCCAAACACCCTCTACCAACAAGGCAAAAACTTAGCTTCATTTCCAGAAGTCGTTTATGAAGTGTTTGTTTGCTTAGGGAAGGATGCTAAGAACGAGGGACCTGAGGGGCACTGAGGCTTTCTGGGTCAAAAACAGGAGTGGCGACTGGGTCTGGGTTTCCAAGATGCTAGGGCTGTCCAGGGCACAGCTAGGAGGTCCATGGGAAGTGGGGAGGAGGTCCCAGCTAGCCTGTGGAGGGCCCTCACCTACTTCTTAGCGCTCTCCATGTGGAAGTGAGCATGCTGAATGTCTTCTGAAGTCGCATTGTGGAGACCATGAGAAACTTCAGTTTGTCACCTACCTCTCATCTCTGAATCAGGGCCAAGCCCTTTTTCTGGGGAGATGGTAATCATACTCTACGCCACAACTCTCACATGAGTCTATTTCCAATGGGCTATGTAGATGAATAAAGAAAACCTGGACGACTGACCCAGTGAGGAACCACAGAACTGGTTTGGACCATGACTCTGCACACATATGTGACTTTAAGCTCATCTTCCTTACTTATATCAAATGATGACCAGTATACTGATTTTCCATCCCTTTGCTTATGTAGGGGATGGCTTAAATAAATAGATTGGTCCATGAGCAAAAAACCCCAACCCAAACAAAAACAAAACAGAAAGAAAGGGACATGGTCCATGTGTTATACAGGGTCTAATGATTTAAGGCAGTGGGACCAATACCTAAAGTACTCGGGCTTGTCTACTCACAGACTCCCAGTATAGAAATTTTACAGAA